ACTCAAAAATCTTCTTCTTCTATATGATTTTCTCTCTCCTCTATTTCATTCTTTCACTAAAAACTATAAAAACTTCAATGGTCATTTGTAAAAAGATGCAAAATCAAAAGGATCCTCCCCAAAAAGGCAATTTTATGTAAATTTCACTTAATTTTGTTTGAATTTATATGATTATCACTTAATTTTGTTTGAATATTGTTCGAAATTTACTATTGGAATTGTAAAAAAAAATTAGTGAAATCAAACGGATATTTTATGTTCACATTTCGAAATGCATATGTTTATATTTTGAATTCTTATGTTCATATTTTGAATCCGTTTGTAAACTTTCTGAAATGCTTATATTCACTTTCTAAATTCAAGTGTTCATATTTTTTTATGTATATGTTCACCTTCTGAAATGCTTAATTATGTTCATACTCATTCAAAAATGAACCAATGCATATGTTCATATTTTGAATTCATATGTTCATATTTTTAATACTTATGAATTATGATGCATATGTTTCATAATCATATTATTTTTATTTCTTCAATTTTTTATGTTCATAATAAAATGCCTTATATTCATAATAATATTTTATATGTTCATAATGTAAATATTCATAGTAAATATTTGTTGTTCTCATTAAGTCGGTTTATGCATATCTTCTCTCTCTTAAATGCATATGATCATATTTTTTACGCATATGTTCACCTTTTAAATGGTTATATTCACTTTAAGGAAACCAATGCTTACGTTCATATTTTGAATTGTTATGTTTACTTTCTGAAATGCATATGTTCACATGTTTTATGCTTATGTTCACTTTTTGAAAAGCTAATGTTCACATTTAAGGGAACCTATGCATATGTTCATATTTTGCATGATTATGTTCATTGATAAAAAAATGCAGAAAATCAAATGAAATTCATACACAAATGAAATTGATCAAAAAAAAAAAAAAAACAATTCATATGAATTCAAAAAATCAAATAAACAACCAATTCCATATTGTAAGTAACATATTCAATTGTTAAATCGAAAAAACGAGAAAAATAAGAAGAAAAAAAAACAGAGGAAAAAGGAATTAAAGAAGGAAGGAGAAAAAATAGAGTATAATTTGTGAATTCAAAGATTCATATATACCTTAATCAATCGAAATTAAGGCACAAAATCGAAATTCACACAAAAATTCATACTTAATAACTACTTTCATGTTGTAAGAAACAAATTCAATAAAAATAGTGTAAAAAGGGGGGGAAATTAAAAAAACAGAGGAGAGAGAAAATAAAAAATGAAGGAGAAAAATAAAGGAGAAGAAACCTAATGTTCACTTTCTGAAAAGCTAATGTTCATATTGTGCTGTTGTTACACTTATCTCTAGGTGTGCACCTAAAAATATATGGTTGTTCAAAACAATAAAATAAAAAAAGTAACCAACTAACCAATCAATATGGGCTCTAAGTCAAGAAATATATTATAGGCTCTCCAAATATAATCCATCATACGTTAATATGGGCTCTAACCAATATGGGCTCTAAGATGGGTTTTTTTTTTTTTTTTTTTGGCACCATATACAATTTTTCTAGAATAAGACAAGTTATTTTTCCTTTACTTCTTTTTCTTTCAATTTTCCATTAAAATAAAAACCGATTCAAACCGGTTAGACGAGGGTTTTGGACCAGTTCTTCATGTTCGGTCTCGAGTTCATAAAGCTCAAATTTTCAACTTTCCATTTGGTCTAGTTCGTTTCGGTCCAGTTTTAAACGAGTGAACGAGCCTATTACAATACATTATTGTAGACTTGATGTGATTGGATTGAAACTTGTGGATATCTAATATAGGCTTACAACAACGCCTATACATGGTTACAACGGTGACCACAATTCTTACTAGACCAAATGTCGCACCTAAAAATACAAGTGTTGTGTATTGGTCTTATTAAAAAGCCCCTAGTTTGTTGCACCTAAAAATACAAGTGTTTTGTATTGGTCTTGTTAAAAAGGCCTTAGTTTGTTATTGGGCTCATCACATGTATTTTTGTATTATAATCCATTAGTATCAATTTTTTTACAAAAAATACCCATAATTAAGTACGAGTACAATTCAATATATACTACACATCTACACTGAATCTTCACACAGATACTCTGATAGACCTGACCTTAAGCTTATTACTAAGGTACAAACCACATATTGGGGAGATTTTGTAAAGAATGATGTAGAAATAAGATAATGTAGTATAGGCAAGGTAAAATTAAATCCCAAATTAAAGCTATTGATGTGAATTCTACCTTTAATCATATACTTGTATAATTGTTTTTCTAGAAAAGGAGATGTAAAATCACCCCAATAGTATTACGAAACTATTAGGCCAGTAAATTTTTTAAAAAAAATGTTTATGATTTGTAAGTCGCAACAATCGCAATCTATGAGATTAATTGATAAAAAAACTTCTCACAATGATATCAGAATACAATTTTAATTAACATTGATTTCTATAGTATTTGGATCAACGACTTTAATTGTTTAATCTCAATTTTTCATTAATCCAAAAATAACTTAATGAGCTTTGTTTCCATTATACTCTCTTAGATTTTAAATACTTGCTCCACTTTTCTTTTGCCATTATTTTTAAATACTTGCTCTATTTCTTTATTTGGAAACCTTTTACGATAATTACTTCATTTCTTTCAACTAGTGAACCTAACATAAATCATATTTTATTAATTTTATATTCTCTCTCATCCAATTCTCTCCACTACTTTTGCTTTTTACAATTTTTTATTCTTTTACCAACCCTACTACCTCCATATTTTATTACTTTCTCCTAAAACTCCGCACATGTAAATGGAGCAAGTATTTAAAAACGGATGGAGTAATACATTAAGAACAAATAAAATCAAAGCATGTAATTAATTGATTCATATTTGGAAACACAAATTAGGGTTTCTAGCTTTTTGATCGAACCTTCAAGGTAAGGTTGTCGAAGGATTGTTCCTTCAAATAACCATTTGCTTCAAGCATCAAACTTGATACCATAAAAGTTTATGGAGAAAAAAAGATGGGGAGGAAAGTGTAGAATCAGGGTGACATATCAATACATGACTTTTACGGTACATATCAATAGACGTCATATACTGTAGACTCTCACTAAATTATTACTATCCGGAACAACTTTCGAATTTCTATTCGAAAAACAACGATAAATTGTAATAATAATGACAAGGAGTATTATTAAAGAGTATACTGCCCCTAAAAATATAAGGATTTGAACCTTCTCTTTCACATGGTGACCTTTGACAGGAGATATTGTCGGAGTTTTCTCCATTATCACCTGGGGATAAAAAAAACATTGAGTTAAGATCAACCAATATATCGCCAACAAATAAAAATACACATTTGATGTACCGAGTAGCTCATTATTGTGAATTTGTGATATCAAAGTTATATGAAGTTGTTTATTGAACCACCAAATTGGATGATGAGAATAATCAATTTCCTTCTGCTATGATTGACTCGTTGCACAGAGTTGTAAATGCGAGACTTGATAATTATTAGTTTGATAAATGTGTTGCCATCTATAAATGGCAAATTAAAACTTAAGGAGACTTAAAAAAAAAAAAAAAAAGGTTCATGTAACTTTGATACACTTATATTATAGTAATAGTATTATCATAATAGAAGTATAGAACTACATATTACTCATAAATGAAAATAATCACTTGCCATGGAGTAATAATTGTTCATCGTCTTCAATAAGGAGTTGAGTTGTCTTTTAGGTGATAATTTTACTTAGGATTGATCTCGTCAAAATTAAAAGATAAAAGTGAGAATTGCAATGAGGTTGTTTCAACTTTCAAGTGATTGAATTGACTTTCTTTTTAACTTTAAAATTTGTTTAATGGTATTTTCTTTTTTGCTTTAAAATTTGTTTTGCAAGCTAGTAATCCTAATAGATACTTCCTTGTATTTTTTGTGTAGGGATTAATAAAAATTTCAAAGTGATTCTTCGTATTAATTCTTCGATAGTAAGAATTGATGTCTATTGCAATTTTTTTGTTCCCGTGGAAAGACGATTATCTATTTAGGATATGAGCTTCAAATTGAATTGTCTTTTTATATATGAGCTTCAAATTGTCTTATATATTTTACATATAAGAGTTTCAAAGTATCTTATACTTCATATATATGAGCTTCTAATACATAATACATATTTATATTTAATATATAATTTTTATATTGCATATATATTGTACATACATTTGGGAAGACATTAGTTTGACTTTCTTATTTATGAGTTGCATTAAGGAGATATTCACACACACGCAAAAAAAAAAAAAAAAAAAAATGGCGATATTGGTATACTACGTATTATAGTAGCTACATACACTTATTAAAAAGGCTTTTGTTTATTATTGGGCTTATGAAATGTATTTTGCATTTCAAATTTTGGTAAGATTTGATACTATTCATAATTAAGATATGATATTATTCATAATTATTATAGAGTGAGATAATAAAATATATCTTTCTATATCATAATATTGTCTTCCAAACTTAGATTATTATATTAATCTTGTGGATTATTGATTTATTTTGAGGAGATTATAAGAGCCACAATAATGGTGAGATACAACCCCTACAACTATTTCTCTCCTCCATTGAGTTGCTTCACTTTGTAGAAAGTGACTCAAGGGTGACACTTGCAATCCATGCGAAACAAATCTTTTTTTTTTTTTTTTTTGCCTTAACTAAAACGTTTTGATTTGAATTTTTTTTTTAAAAAAAAAAAAATCTTATCAGCATGCAATTGTGACACATGTCAGAATTTATGCACTCCTAACTGAAATTGTCATTAGAAGATAATTATATAGTTGTTGGGATATATGAAGAACTATGTCTTAAGCTAACTATTTGACCAATAAATGTTTCAAAAATCCTAATCAAGAAAATAATCTAAATTACCCAAAAAAATTCCAGTTCTCCAAATTTTCATCAAGCTAACCTCATAAAGATGGCACATCTCACATCTTGTCAAACCATTGTCACAACAAAGCATGTGGGAGCAATTATTTGTTTAATTGTTTCTTCAATGCTTCTGGGAGGTGTTCTTGGAAACTATCTATCTCAACATCATGTTCTAACTCTTAAGGTGTTGGATCATTTTCGATGTTATTGTGTAAAATTAGATATGATTTTTTTTAAATGTATTTATTATGGTACCTTAAATATTTCTCATCTTAATTAGTTTAGACTCCAGATGGACAATTGTATGACTGCGTAGATTTCTATAAGCAACCATCCTTAGATCACTTGACATTGAAAAATCAGATTTCCAAGGTAAACATATATATATATACACACCATTCATTTTATGTTTGATTATTATTATTATTTTTTTTAATATTATTGTTTCCCCATTTACTATATATTTATTTGGTTGAACATTAAATACTTTGACTGTAATTTTGGTGGGTTTTTCGCAAGGAAATATATAGTTGTGCAAGGTAGTCTCATAATCTTGTGTGATACGTCTTGAAATATAATTTTCAAATGTCATCTGATTTCATTAATTGATGATTAAAGATACACATGTTTAAAAATGAACAGGAAAGCATAAATCTAAGGTGTTCATTGCATCAAATGAAAACATACTATACATAATATAGGAACATATTCCCAAATTAGTAAAGGAAAATATAATTAAACGTTCTATGAAGTATAAGTTTTTATGCATATTTTATACGAATTCTCTTATATACATGTCATTTCTTTTTTAAAGACAAAATATAAGTCAAAGTAAGACTAGTTCTCAAAGGATTTTGATTCGAATTGAACCGGATAAAAAAATGGTAAATTATGTTTCTCGGTCCAAAATTGATTTTAAAACACCCATAGTCACAATTGAACTAAATAGATTATACTTTTTCTCATGGGTCTATGATGTATACATTCAGGTAGCATTAGCCTTAATATCAGTTGCATATGAAAGGAAACCTAAGGGTATAGGGCTCAAGCATGGAGGTTGTCCATCCAGCACCGTTCCTATTTTAAGAACTAATGTTCAAGATCCTGATATACCCCGACCATCATTTGTACCCGGACCACTAGAACATTGTGTGAGAGTTCAATCTTTTTGAATCAATTGTTTTTCTAAATTATGATGAGTTATATTTAAAAAATTAAACATGTATATATATATATATATCGGTTCAATATGAAGTTAATTTATGTAATGTTAATTTGAAAAATTATCTTTATATGAAAAATTTAACATATTGGATGAAATCCTAAAGTGAACTTGAAATGGATAATTTTGAATGATTAAGATATGAAGGATGTGGAGATTTTTTTTTTAAAAAAAAAGGAAATCCATCAATGGGCCCCAATTTTTTGTTATTATTGGATTCTATTTATGGGCCTATATAATACTCCATTCGTTTCATAATGTTAGTCAAATCAATTACATAAAATAAGAAAGAAATATATTTGGAATCTAAAATTAAAGTACAACATAATTCATAATTAGTTTACCTTATTTAAAACTTTTTATTTTTATTAGGAAAACACAAGTCATAATTACATAATTTAATGTAAACATTTCCTTACTTAGAGTCGTGTCAACAATCCACAACCGATTAATTAAAAAAAAAATCAAGTTATAAATGAAATATATTCAATATGGGTAGATCTTTTTGAAGCGCCCAAAATAGTATATGGACTAACATTATGAAACGGAGGGAGTATATTAGTATATACATTAAGTGGTGAACACCAATACAGAATAACATCAATACATACAATATGTACAAAATTAGCTTGTAAAAAAAAATTAATGTGAAAATTTCATCTTACTGAAGGAGTATTTGTTGTGCAGGTTGCTGTCATTCAAACAAACATTGCTGATTCGAATAAGAAATTCTTCGGATCAAGTGCTTCCATGACCTTGTATAAGCCTCGAGTACAAAAGGGTCAATGGTCTTCAAGTCGGATTAAATTATCGAATGGTGTAGATAGTATTGAAGCTGGATGGATGGTTTGTATTATCCTCATATCTTCCTTTTATTAGTTGGGCTAAGAATCTGGGATATTATTTATCTAAATCAAGTTCTATCAAAGTTATGCTCTTCCGTTCTATCTTAAATAGAGTATTGTACTTCTTTTATACAGAATATAACGGTTTATAGTTTTTTCTTTGGGTGTTTTCATTGTCAATTAGGTAAATCCAACTTTGTTTAACGATAATGATGCCCATTTCTATGCAAGATCTATAGTAAGTGCGAGTATATATGTTAGCATTGAAATTATTCCTAGCTTTTTATCATTTTATTTACCTAAGTTAATTAATTATATAATTCTATGTTTGTTGTAGGTAGGACAAAAGGAATGTTTAAATCAATGTGATAATGGTTTTGTTCAAGTTTCGAAAGCTGTACCTTTGGGCACTATCCCGGATGAATATTCCGAAATAGGTGGGGATCAACATACTTGGAAAATAACTATTAGAAAGGTACTAGTATAATCTTATAATTTTTGTTGTCATTTCAATATTTCATATTGTTGTCACATTTCATAAATAATACGATGTATGTTTAAAAATGCTCATCAACTCACAACCAAATAATGAGTGAGCCTTGGTTAATAAGACTGATATACAGCTCAGCAATATAACCATCTTTTATAGTTTTGATTTTTGAGGACAAATTATCCTAACTTCTTGTTTATCTTTCTTTAACGAAGAAGTTAGGAAAGTAAATAATCATCTCATCTTATTCCAAACAATCATCTAACTCCAACACAATTGCAAGTATATTTTATTTGTGTTTTCTAATCATGCTTTCTTAGATCATATACTTTAAATTTAGATGATTAATTAACTAATTTCTCTTGTGTATGTATCCCTTTATATATAGCATATTGAAGACGACAATTGGTGCCTTATTATATTTGATAAAGACGGTGTGTCAATTCCAGTTGGATATTGGCCTAAAGGTCTATTTACAAGCTTAGTGGATGTTGCAAACCAAGTTGAATGGGGTGGAGAGATCAATGATCCTAGGCCAACTAGCCCAGGTCCTGAAATGGGTTGTGGTAGGATGGCAAGTTATAATACGCAATATTCAGCATTTTTTAAACAAGTGACTGTTGATATTGAAAAGTCTAAAAATGTTGAACCTCAAGATACGAAAAAAGGGTTAATTGTCCGTCCTTATACAATGTCTTGGATGAAGGTTATAAGCGTGATTGGGGTCGTCTCATGTATTATGGAGGCTATCATATATAATATTCTCAATCCTCAATAAAATAATGAACATTTCATATAGAATTACTAGTGATTATTTTTGTGTTTATTATTATTATTATTATTATTATTATTATTATTATTATTTTTTTTTTATCTTTTTCATATTCATTTACTAGTGTTTATTTTTGCATTTTTTAAATTTAATTTTATTATTTTCATATAGATTTTTTTCTTAGAAAAAAATTATTTTCATATAGATTGACTATTGATTTAATTTTGTAAAAAATTTTTATCACGTGGTGCAATAATTTATCAGTTTTCGAACTTGCATTGCATTGTCAATTTGCCATAAGTAGGCCTGCCCTATAACCTAAACCAAAGGGTATACATATCTTTTACCTCATAGATGTGGCAGCTTATTGATCTCTAATTCTCCTTGAATATTAGGATATCTATAGACTCATATACTTATAGGGTTTATGTGTTAATGAAATAAATGTGATGACAATTTTTAAATAATGGGAACCTGAGAAAGCGATACTGTAAAATTTGATGGTAAAAAGTATCACTATGTATATAATGATATATTAAGGGTCTGTTCTCATATGTTGAAATTCAGTTCAGTTCAGCTCCTAATTTTCTTCTCTTATAAAATATTCAATTCAGTTCAGCTCAGTTCAGTTCAACTGAGTTCAATCAATGAGAACAAACCCTAAATTTACTATTGTATCATTAAAGAAGAGAAAAAAAAATAATAAAAATTCCAAAATGACCTCTTATATACTTGTGAAACATATAGACCATATGCGCCTAGATGTACTCTAAAAATTGTCTAATACGAGTTTTAAAGCATACAAGTTCATAGTCCACTCACTATAAAGTTGAGTATAAAAATAAAAAGAGAACTAACTCAGAAAATATCGCCTCACCTCACTCTCCACCATAACCGCACGATCAAAATCCAACGGCTAAGATTTCTCTTCAAACCGTTGAAAATCACCACCTTTTAAATCAAACAAAAATTACCATTTCTTTCTCTCTCCATTCTCTGCAACTCAGAAGCTTTCAACAATGGCGTCAATGGCTCTGAGTTTAACCTCTTCCACTACCTATTCTCTCTCCTTCAGATCTCTTCCTTCTCTCAAACCCATCTCTAAATCTCACCCCTCCATTTCCCTCCCTTCCATCAGATCCAACGCTCTCAAATCCTCCTCCTCCTCATCTTCTCACTCTCACAAACACTTTCTCTCTCCTCCTTCTCTTCTTCCTCTTCCCAACACTCTCAAATTCAAACCCATTTCATCTTCTGCAACAAACCCACCTCAAATTCAACCTCAACCATGGCAGGGAGCTTCAATCAAACCCTTAATCGCATCAATTTTAACTGGGGTTATAATCTGGTTCATCCCAACCCCAGAAGGTGTTTCCAGAAACGCATGGCAACTCCTCGCAATCTTCCTTTCCACCATTGTTGGAATCATCACTCAACCTCTTCCTTTAGGTGCAGTCGCTTTAATGGGGTTAGGTGCTTCAGTTCTTACCAAAACCCTAACATTTTCCGCCGCATTTTCCGCTTTTGGTGACCCAATTCCATGGTTAATCGCGCTCGCTTTCTTCTTCGCTCGTGGGTTCATCAAAACTGGACTCGGCAATCGAATTGCGTACCAATTTGTGAAATTATTTGGGAGTTCTTCATTAGGGTTAGGTTATAGTCTTGTTTTTAGTGAAGCACTTTTAGCACCTGCAATTCCATCTGTTTCTGCAAGAGCAGGTGGGATTTTCTTACCATTGGTTAAATCTTTGTCTGTTGCTTGTGGGAGTAATGTGGGAGATGGAAGTGAGAGGAAATTAGGGGCTTGGTTGATGTTAACATGTTTTCAAACTTCTGTGATTTCAAGCTCTATGTTTTTGACTGCTATGGCTGCTAATCCTTTGAGTGCAAACTTAACATTTAACACTATTGGTCAGGCAATTGGGTGGATGGATTGGGCGAAAGCCGCTTTCGTTCCCGGGTTGGTTTCTTTGATTGTCGTTCCTTTGCTTTTGTATGTGGTTTACCCTCCTGAGATCAAGACTAGTCCTGATGCGCCTCGCCTTGCCAAGGAGAAGTTGGATAAGATGGGTCCTATGACCAAGAATGAGTCTATAATGGCTGTTACTTTGCTACTCACGGTATGATTTCGATTCGTTTTTGGTGATTTTGTAGGTGTTTAATGACTAGTTGTATTGGATTATGGTTTTAGTATGCAAATTTTGGTCTTGAATGATTGTTGTTGTTTGTTTGGTTGAATTGGATGTTGGTTTTAGTTGTATAGGCTGTTGGTTTAGATTGCAAGTGTTAATTGATGGTATGAACGATATTATGGTAATGTACTTCCCTGTCTTAGTTGCATTGGAAGTTTTTTGCAAGTCTTGATGAATTTAATTAGGAGTCGTTTGGTTAGTCTGTTAGGGGATTGTTTAAGCATTTGCTGCATTGGTTGACAGTTTAGATTGCGAATGTTTTATGAATCCGAGTCTTAAATCAATGCCTATATGTTCGATTAAGATAGTGGGTTATATATATTAATGTTCCATCACCCATACTTAGAAAATTTAATAAGTGATGGTTGACCTAATGTTGATGACTTTTAAATGCTTGCAATTGCTATGGTAAGGATGGAGTATTAGAAGTCGATACCCATTTGCCATGATAACACACCGCAAAAGACTTCCTGAAGTTTTCTGCTAGCAACACCAATGCTAGTTTCTGTATCAGCTTTAGCATTTGAAAATCAGTCATCAGTAGTATACGGGTTGTTAGTTGATTGAAAATTATGCATACCTGCATGACCTATGAAGAATAATTGATCAATTTGATATTAATTGTGGGCTAAACAGTTGTGCAATTTTGAGGTCATTAAGGAACTTCAATTATGATACATTGATTTGTTGAGAAAAAAGATTTTCCATTCTGTACATCTTCATTATGTGTACATTTATTTCAGTTTTAATATAAAGACACCATGTCATGTTACATTGATATACTTTCCTTGTCATACTTTCATCAGGTGGGATTGTGGGTTTTCGGAGGAGCTTTGAATATTGATGCAGTCACTGCTGCAATTCTTGGATTATCTGTGCTGCTCATTACTGGTGTTGTCACCTGGAAAGAGTGCTTATCAGAGTCGGTGGCTTGGGATACCCTTACTTGGTTTGCTGCACTTATTGCCATGGCTGGTTATCTCAATAAGTACGGTCTCATTTCTTGGTTCAGTGAAACTGTGGTCAAGGTCTGTGTTCTTTCCTCTTTCCCTGAATATTTTTCTTCTGCTCTAGTTGTACTAGTATGATTGAACCGACCATCTTCGCAGCAATTGTGTGTTGAAATCTGTTGTTTTTAATTATGATCGTATTCTTGTTGAAGAGGGGCGGGTGAGGGGGGTGGTTTCCCTTAATCCCTACTTAATATTGGGGTCATTATTAAAGAGTTGAACCAATATGCCACAAGTAGTCTTTTATTAGAGTTTTTAGTTAGAACCTTTGAGGTATCATTAAGGATTTATGTGAACAAAATAGAAGTTTGGTGCATTAAATTTAGAAAGTGACCTATTATTATTAAACACCTCAAGATGAGAATGAGGCTTATATTTGTTAAGAGCAACTTTAATGGTAATCTATTTTATCTTCTAGCTTAAATTGCCACATTATCTTTTCCAGCTATGTTTTTCCTAGTTAATTTTTTGTCATTAAGTTTTTTTCAACTATATTTTTTAAAATAATAATATTGATTAGAAACAATTAATATCTAAGGAAATTTGCTTGGCCAAGCTAATTAGTGCATTATACTCCAATGGTTTGGCTATTAGCTTGAAAATTACAAAAATTGGAAGCTAAGTCCCTCAAAAGCAACCATTGGAGTTGCTCTAAAGGCGCCTTATTGAATAATGTATAGTCGTAAAGATTTATGTGAGATATTTGTGTAATTACTGATCAGAATTTTGCTGTGGTGATGTACTGCAACATCACCTAACATATGTTTTTCCTTGCAGGTTGTTGGTGGTTTAGGCCTTTCATGGCAGATGTCTTTTGGTATTCTAGTTCTTCTTTATTTCTACTCTCACTACTTCTTTGCTAGTGGAGCTGCACATATAGGTGCCATGTTCACGGCCTTCTTGTCAGTTGCAAGTGCGCTAGGGACACCACCTTTTTTGGCAGCCATAGTTCTTTCATTCCTCTCCAATCTTATGGGTGGCCTCACTCACTACGGTATTGGTTCAGCCCCAGTTTTTTACGGTGCTAATTATGTTCCCCTCCCGCAATGGTGGGGATATGGTCTCCTCTGCTCAATAGTCAACTTAATAATCTGGCTCGGAGTTGGAGGCATTTGGTGGAAGGCGATTGGATTGTGGTAACCTGATGGTGCTCAAAGAATTCGCTGACCCTGCAATTCAGTAGTTCTCGCAGATATTGCTTATTATATACGAGTTCCTAGAGGTAGCCTCTGAATTTTTGTTTACGATTTTTTATTTAAAGAATATTTATTTCCCCACATTGTCTCTGCGAATTGGAACAGATAAAGAAATATGAAGAGCCATAGTAGTTCAACTTTGTTGTACTGCCACTAGAAATACTTTTAATTCCTTACAGATTGATTGCTTTTCGAAATTTTGGTAATGTAAAATTGTAAAGTACTTGATGCCTTTCTACAAGGCATCTAAGAACAAACCACCCACCTCCCTCCTTTCCGCGATGAATCCCTTAACCGTGGATGTTGAAGGCTGGTGGTATTACCTACTGAGCCAACCACAATTTCTAACTGATTGGCTTTTTGATAGTCATTAAATATATATTCTGATCATTATTCACTCAACAGAGAAGTCCACGATTATATGATTAGAGAATTTCTATATTTGTGCTTATTGTGGTTCATAGATAATGTACTCTCGACTTCTTGAGCATTATATTAGTGGCCCTTATGGCCTGAAAATTCCATTGATTTCGATTTATGTGGGTATCCACTTAGACTCTAAGGATATGAAAAGCAGGTAACTTGTGGTTTTGTTATGCCTTGTTGTTGATAAGTAGGGATGTTATGTAAACATCGCATAGTTTGTAGTAAAACCATCTACGCAAAAAATCAAATGGACCTTATTGATAGGAACTAGTGAGTTGTGACAGGCATATAATACCAATGGTGAACAAAGTTTTGAGATCCTTTCAGGACCACAATTGTCACCGATGTAGGGTTATGGAATTTTAACCCTTGATTTTTATCTGTTTTTTTGTGCTTTTATCTTCTAGAAGCTGAGAAGATGACAATGGAAACTATTATCGAGTGTATGACTATAAATGTGAACTCTTCATTTGGTTGAAAGAACAGGAATAAAATAGTGTGTATTGTTAGACCCTGTTCTCTTTTGATTTTATTGGAACTAAACTGATTTGTATATGTATAACAGTATAAGTATCTTTTTGTTTAAAATTTTGCGAATTTTATCATTCATATGCGTGCAAGTATATTTACACATATATTCTAATATTCTTTTTACTGATATTTGTAAGAACATGGTGATAAACACACCATTATGTTAGTATTTCGGTTACGCACATCTGAACCTATTCAGGGTAATGAACTAACGATGTTATAGTTGAGATTTAGAGAGGTTGACATGTCTGAAGTTTTACTTCTAATCATCAATTTGATTTACTAAATTAAGAGGCATAGTTTGTTCACTCTTGATGTTGTTGTCTCTCTGATTTTCGTCTTCTTGGAAGATAACGATCCATACTCTATATTCTTTTGATTTGTGGCTATTAAAATTGCTTTGAGCAGTTTGTGAGGCTACTATCAAAAGAAATTTTATACCATAACTAGTCTTTTTCTTAAAAGTTGATGTTGAGATGAATTAGTTCCAAAGAATCTGCATTCTTTCAGTGCTACTGTTAGCCTCTCTTTTAGTAGGCTAAGCTTTAATATCATCATTATTCTCCAAAGATATCTTGCAATCTATGGTATTTTGGTATGACACAAGAGATTCATGTTGCTGGAGGAACCTGGTGCCCTTTCAAGTGAAATCCAATGTACGAAATAATTCGACATTCCAACCTTCAATACAGTAACACTCCGACGATTAGAGAAATAAGAGTATAGTCTAATGCATGCTTTGATCATTAACTGTTGGTGTAAGAAATAAGAAATAAGACAATCTTTTAAGAATGGCCTAAGAAAGAAAACGGGACAAATTTTAAGGGACAAAGGGAGTAGTAGCTAGCTATTTCGTATATAAACGGGAAAGTTTAGGTCACCTGACAAGCAACAACATGCGTACGCGCACCTGTTCTTCGTAATTCTTTTGGCGTTCATGGTTAGGTTTATTGGCAATGCATTTTTCAAATTCGGAGTAAATGTTACTCTGAAATCTGAATATGTTGCTGAAGTGTTACGTGTTATAGAGGATCAATTGGGCTACCCACTTTTTGAAACTTGTTAGAAAATGTTTTTTTTTTCTTCCTCATTTCACTTTCCACACCTTATGGAGAAGGCTCAATATTAAATTTTGCCTACCTTTTACACCTACCTTTATGCTTTGCTATTGTAAGATTTCTATTCCAATAATTATTGTAGCTAGCTGAATTTATCAATATACTAAGAATTTGTTGACACTTTGAGAGTGATAGCGGAAGGGTAATTGGGTAAGAGATTCTTACACAATAATGGGACCTCAGACTTAGAAAACACGAAGGATTCCCCTTGTAATCAAATTAAAGCTCTGTAGAGGGTGAATGATTAATGAAATCTTGCCTTGCTTGTATGCTTGTTTGTTGTTAGACCTCTATAGATATTGTGTCTTACTCGCATAATAGCTCCCCTCCAAACCAACTTGATGCACTAAGAACTCGTGGTTCGAAGCCGCTTGTGCCCGCCTTGAAGTATCGACCGTCACAAGCCCTGACCACCCGCACTCCGTCGCCCAAATAGACGTGAGTGTTCCTGTGATTTATTTGCCCGCTTGTGTTGCTTTGTGCTCACAAGCCCCTCTTCTGCTCAAGGCTAGAGTTCTTGCCGCCAAAAAGCTAGAGCGCGCCACACGTTTCGAGGCCCAAACTCCCGGACCATGACCAATCTGACCACCCTTAAAGTTCCTCCAGTGAAGATTGAACTCCTAACCTCAAAGTTGGAATGTGTAATATTTTCCACCAAACCAAACTTAGCTTGGTGTATTAAGTAAATATGTGTTTGCTTGTTACACATTAAAAAAAAAAAAAAAAAAAAAAAACCAATACAACTTACGTGGTTTTCTCTTCATGATAATATATCTTATCTATAAAATATATACTACCTCCGTTAACTTTTATTTGCAATTTTGGAGTATTATTTGTGAGACATAAAATATTCCAAAGTTGCAAATAAAAGTTAACGAAAATAGTAGTTCTCAGAAATACAAAATGGGAGTAATGCCCTTATTCCATCACCTCGAACTCACAAAATATACAGAATATAACTCCACACCAAGGTAAGTATAAGTTATAACCAGATGAATTTCCAACTCAAACCGCACCGCCACATTGATTATAGCTCATATAATTGAGGAAAGGATCTCAGAAATTACAGTGCATGGAATTCCGTGAGACACTCGTCAACATTTCCTTCACTAGTCCAAAATTAAACCTTCACTAGAAAACTAGAAAAATAAAACCTTCACTAGTCAATATTAAACCTTCACTAGTCACTGACAATCAAATTAATAAAAAACAAAAAAAGTCAGTCCAAATGTCTTTCATTCCTTTTTCTTTACTGACCCCATAAATGTTTCTCTTTCTTTCTCCCTTATTTCGTAAAGAAGAAAGGTCTTAAATTACTCATAATTTTAATAACATGTCTTTTCATTATATCTTCTTTAATCTTTATCTATGAACCATAAATTTTGTTAAGGTGAACAGTTTTATGTAACCAACATAACCAGATTTTTTATGAAGATTTGTAACGTTTACCTTTTATGAAAATTTCATGTATATTGTAACGTTTTTGTTAGTTATATCTGATTTCTCACTATCTCTGTTTTTATCACATGATATAAACGTCTAAAACCATGCAACCCGTACATGTTAAATAAGAATACAGGAAGCAAAATTCTTGTTTCTTTAAAAAGCCAAAATTCTGCTTATCCTTTCCCTCTTTTTATTCCTTCATTTTTTCTTTTGGAAAAAGTTTGGCACTTGTGTTATTCTTCTGTTTTTAAGCTCCTCTAATAGAATTTAGCATCATTTATATCAAAGACTGAAAATTTATTAATTTCACCCAATTTTGTGGGATTGTTTTACTATTAAGTGAAGAAAAATATAATCTTTAACCCATTAAATTGAATAAGAGCTTCAGCTGTTCAAAGCTATGGTAGAAGAAGATGGATTATGCTTTCCATACACTAAGACCAAAATTCCTCTCTTCATCTTCTTCAAAAATGCTAGGTACAGTTTCCTTTTTTACCCTTCTTTATTTTTTCCATTTTTTTCTTGCTACTATTTTTTTTTTTTCAATTTCATATTATAAATTATATGGGTTATGTTAAAATTGTTACATGGAACTTAAAGGGTTTTTTTTTTTTTTTTTTTTTTTTTTTTTTTTTTTTTTTTAAATTTATAATTTTTGATTGGTTTTATGATATTATATGATGTATGTAAAATAGGATGGTATTCAAGATGGATGAACTTGGGGTGGAAATATCACAAATTGCATTACCAGCTGCTCTGGCTTTAACAGCTGATCCTATTGCTTCTTTAGTTGACACAGCTTTCATTGGCCAAATTGGTATGTTGTACCTTTTTTGCTTCTATGCATTATTTTCTTCGTTTTTATTTTTTTCCTACTTTACTATCGAGTTTTAAAAAACCTCATAATTTATATGCACTATTATATATACTGAGTAGGAAAAAACATTATCATGTGAGATTGTATCATTCAATTTGAGTTAACCTTAGTATAAATGTTAGGAAGTATTTCATTTTGGAATGTACATAGGAAAATAGTCTGTTAATTTTAAAAAAGAATAGTGTATGTATGTAATTTGAAGTTAATGTAAGCATGCATTATTTTGAGTACTAGTTTACTTATTACTTATCCAAGTAAAATTAAACTAGTGTTATTTTATTTTTCTTCTTAAGTTAAGAGGTTTTATGGTTGATGTAACTTTGTTAGGACCTATTGAGCTTGCTGCTGTTGGGGTATCTATAGCTCTTTTCAATCAAGTATCTCGAATTGCAATCTTCCCTCTTGTAAGTTTAACAACTTCTTTCGTGGCCGAGGAAGATGCCGTGGCAGAATTGAGTTCCGAACAACAAGAGTTAGGATGTTTGGAATCAAATTGTACTAATGAAGCCAAAGAATTATTACCTCAATCAGGTATTTATGTTTTGTATGTCTTTGAATAGCAACTTTTTATGTTTTTGAAAAAATTGCTACATTATTGGACATTGGTGAGTTATAAACGCTAGGAGTGTTATTTTCTGTTAGATTCGGGTGAGAGTGTTAAGGCCAAAACAAGCAGCTTTAGTGTTGAAAGTTCGAAGCCTCAAAGGAGGAACATACCTTCTGCTTCATCGGCTTTGGTTATTGGTGCAATCCTTGGACTTCTTCAAGCGATTTTTCTCATTTCTTTAGCAAAACCATTATTGAACTATATGGGTGTCAAACCTGTAAGTACATTTTCCTATAAATCGCGGTGAAGAGCTTGTGTATATATATACTACCATTCCTCTGTTAACTGTTATGTGATTAGCCTGATTTTTTTATATTTGAGAATCTTGGTCCATATTTCCAACATTATTATGTTCAACCAGGACTCAACTATGCTACCCCCGGCTCAAAGGTACTTGACATTGAGGTCACTTGGTGCACCTGCCGTTCTTCTTTCCTTAGCTATGCAAGGAATTTTTCGAGGTTTTAAGGACACAAAGACTCCTCTGTATGCTACTGGTGAGCCTATAAGCTAACTTACTTTGGTTCACTAATTGCCTGGCCTTGATCTGCTATGATTAACCGATTCTTTTTCTTGCAATTTACAGTGGCAGGGGATGTAACTAACATAATTCTTGATCCGATTTTTATATTTGTTTTTCGGTTGGGTGTTAGTGGTGCTGCAATTGCCCATGTTATATCACAGTAAGTTTACACAACTGTTCTAATAATGTCTAAAAGTGCTACTTGATGTATTTTTTGCTTAGTTTGATTTGCTATGTTGATCTTAATAGGTACCTCATTTCAATCATCCTATTTTGGAGACTAATTCAACTAGTCAATCTCCTACCTCCCAGTATGAAAGATCTCAAATTTGGTCGATTTCTTAAAAATGGTAAGAATTACCTAACTATGTTATCTGAAGTACCCTTATCACAACTTATGGTAATCAAAGTGTTTGAGTTTTACCTCTTCCTGCAGGCTTTCTTCTGTTGATGAGGGTCATAGCTGTGACATTCTGCGTGACCTTAGCTGCATCTATGGCTGCACGCTTAGGGCCCACACCAATGGCCGCTTTTCAAGTCTGCTTGCAAGTTTGGTTAGCGACATCCCTTCTTGCTGATGGACTCGCTGTTGCTGGCCAGGTTTCATTTCAGCTATCATAATTTATGTCCACTGTCCAATCATTTGTTTTGTATCAGTATGCAAGTTCAAGCAGTGGCGTATCCAGGAATTCCGAACTGTGGGTTCGGAATCTTAAAAAACAAACGATGCTCATATATTAATTAAATATTCAATATATAAGTTCAAATTTTTTATTACAAATGGATGGATTTAACAGTTGCAAAATAATAAATAAATAAAAAATTAAAAAAAAACCTACAAAAGAATTCTTCGAGTTTTATACTTTGAAAGCGTGCTAAAACATTACTACTTCTATAAATGATAAATCTATAATTATATTGCAAAAAATGAATATTACACGAAAAACAAAAATCCCAAGTCCCCAATAAACACAAATTTGACAATGAATTTTTTTTCTAATTATCAATCAAAAGACCAAGTAAAAATTTTAAATTCTAAGTTTCTAAATTCAATTTGTACGTCAACAATATATCAAAACTAATTAAACAAATCAATAATTAATCTAATTATCACTAATTTACAAACAAATAAAGATTTAATAATTAAGAGGAGTAGAGGAATAAGGGGACTGTTGAAACTAATACGTGCTAAAGGATAAAAACAATAATAATATTAGATAAGTATGAAGCAAGTAAAAATAAAGAACTCATAATATTTCTTCATGTTTAATTCACTAAATACAAGAGCCATATATGTAGGCTAACAAACAACAAATAATAAGCTAAAAAACTGAAAGTATAATGCCATGATTAAACCCACTAAATAAACTCATTAACTTCTAAATTCATTTGACTCTCTAACTTAACAAAATGACCAACATACTACTCTTAAAATTATTGAACCAACTATGGACTAACTCATGAATAACAACGGAAGAAATCGAAAGGGGAAAAAAAAAACATATTTGTACCAGAGGGTGGCTGGTCTCGAACCCATGATCAAGGATAGCCTCACTACTCTATTAGTCACTCCCTTACCAATGTACCAGAGTTACATATTTGTTTATTTACTTCACAAAAATTTGTTTTAACCTTATTTTTTTTCTTTTTTTAAAAAAAAATATATCAAAACTTATAAGTTTTTTTCAAAAAATCTGGGGGTTCAATGAATCCCCTTGAACCCCCCCTAGATCCGCCCATGAGTTCAAGTTACTACATTTTGATACTATATACAGTATAATATCATGATGTGGAAGATTTGTTTGTCATGGACCGAGTAAAGTCTATTTTAGAGTCTTAGAGGTTCTCCACATTTTACAGGCAATACTTGCTAGTGCTTTTGCAAAGAATGACTTTGAGAGAGCAACATCGACTGCCTCCAGAGTTTTGCAGGCAAGCTGATATTTATTTCCTTGATCCTTACTGCAATTACAAACATAGGATGTTCGAACCAGTATCTTTGCTATCATGTCAAAATCACCATAATCTAATTATGGTTTCGTGTGTTACATGTGCAGCTAGGCTTTGTTCTAGGATTGGTCCTGTGTTTCATGCTCGGGTTTGGATTAAAATTTGCAGCAAGATTGTTTACCAAGGATGTCGATGTCCTGAACCTGATAACTATAGGCATTCCAGTATGACTGCTTTTCTTACATGTTTCATATGTTCAGTTATCAACTGTTTAGATGAATTAGATCTTGAGGGAGTTGAACTAATTATGCTATCTTTATCACAGTTTGTTGCTCTTACTCAACCCATTAACGCGTTGGCCTTTGTTTTTGATGGCATCAACTTTGGAGCATCTGATTTTGCATATTCAGCCTTTTCCATGGTATTTCTCATACAAATACTACTTTGCTTTCTTAAATTAAAAACTTGATCTAGGGACGAATATCTGATCCAAGCTCTCAATCTCTGCAGGTTATGGTGGCTGTTGTGAGCATTTTGTGTTTGTTTTTTCTTTCCTCCCATTATGGTTTCATCGGTATCTGGGTGGCTCTAACTATTTACATGAGCCTTCGCGCATTTGCTGGTTTTTGGAGGTATATCCATCAAAACACTCTAATAGTGCTCGGAATAAGCTTTGCCTTATCAATTCTCATGATCAAGAATCTAATGAGCTTAACACTTTTTTTTGGCAGAATTGGAACCGGAACTGGACCTTGGAGCTTCCTTAGGAGTGAAATTCTGTTTTATAACATATGATACATTTTCCCAACTTTGTATATTATGTTCGGATGATTTTCCAAACTAAGCTTAACTACAAAAGTAGACGCGTGGCAAAACTATTTACCAAACTAAGCTTCTAGGGTAAAGCGCTGTTTCGGACAGCGTTTTACCCCTGAATTTTTTTTTTTAAAAAAATCAAAGTGTAAAACGCTGCCTCAGTCAGCGTTTTACATGTTGACTTTTTATTGTTAAATTTTTTAATTCTTAATTTCTGGTTTAAAATAAATAAAAAAAAAGAAAACTTTACACTAAAAACGCTGACTCAAATCCCTGAGAAAAATCAACGGCAGCAATTAGCTCGTCATCATTTCTGAATCATCAGATTTCTTCAACAGTACCTTCTCTTCTCAAACCCAGATTTCTTCAACTTCAACAGTAACCTAATGCAGCAAATAAAGATAGAAAAAAAAAAAAAACTAAAGAAGAAGAGTATGGTGAAATACCCACTGAAGGAATTAGCAGACCCATGTCTCAAATTCTTAAACAACTCAACAAAAAAGTTACTGATTCTCTTATTAGTAATTGGGTATTGAAAAACTTTTGTTGCAGGGAGATTATAGCAGGAGGAGGAGGTACAAATTAAAATTAAAAAAAAAAAAATTTACACTATAAACGCTGACTCAATCAGCGTTTTTAGTGTAATTTTTTTTTTTTAAATTTAAATAAGAAATTAAGAATTTTTTTAAAAAAGTCAACATGTAAAACGCTGACTGAGACAGCGTTTTACACTTTGATTTTTTTTTTTTTTTTTAAAATCAGGGGTAAAACGCTGTTCGAGACAGCGCTTTACCCTGGAAGCTTAGTTTGGTAAATAGTTTTGTCACGCGTCTACTTTCGTAATTAATTTCGTAGTTAAGTTTAGTTTAGAGAATCATCCAGGGATGCTTGTACTATGTAGAAACAGTTAGAAATTTAGAATGGTTATGCAGTTATGCTATATGTATATTATCTACCTAAACTATTCTTAAAACCCAAGACAAAGAAGTGTTGTCTCGCCACGTTTCGATCATCAATCTTATATTACAATTATTGACACGGAGCATTGTTGGGCTAATAGCTAGTTTAGACAGTAATATAAAGCACAAAGTTCAACAACTTAAATACCAAGCCTTAGCTTGTGTATGTATGTGCTATTTTGCCTTCTTTGGTACTTCTTTGAGATTCATAATCATTTTTTTTGGAGGCTATAAATTAATAAATTTACAACTCCACAACTTGTAAATACAATAAACCAAAAATAGTTGTTTAGCAAATTTAATACGGAGTACATATAATTATAAATATTATTTGCAACAGATTCTCCGTTTTACTACCCGATTTCAAAATCCACGGTTAGGTCGGTTACTAATAGATTCCAATTCAAAGTATCCTGATTTTTTGCTCACCCATAAGTAATATATTAGTGGGCATAACAAGGGTTATATTTATGATTCGAGGAATTTGTGTAATACAAAAGTGAAACGCTAAACCTCAGTCTCGAATCTCTAACCCCTACATTTTTTCCTATTACACAAATTACTACGTATTACTTCGTATTTTTTATGGATTAATTATTTTCATTTAAATAACAGCCCATTTAAACATTTTCCCCCAAACCCTTATCCCCCTTCAAATTCGTTGCTCAGACAGAATTCACCTTTGATTCACCGACCAAGCCACCACCGACGTCCGCCTTCGTCGCTACCCAGACGTGTCTATCACCATCGACCGCCGACCTTTGCTTCTTCACAAATATCCTTTCCATTTGCTTTTTAAGGTATTGTTTATAGTTGCTATACAATTCAACGCAACTATACTACCAATTTTTCGTTTCAAATTCGATTTTATTTGCTATTGTTTTTATTTATAGATTTTTAAATCATTGACAATTGATTATTTGATCAGTTCATTGATTGCATTTCTTTGGTATTTTGGTTTGCAATATTATTGGGTATTTTTTTGATATTATTGTTATTGGGATTTTAGTTTTTCAATTTCTTTGTTCATTATTTCAGGGATCAATTTACTTTCTATGGAATCTGTTATAGCCCTTATGCATTGCCGATGAATACATGTATTTCCCATCCCAATTTACTTGCCTCGTTTTAAGTGCAATTTTTTTAAAATTTTGGTGAAAAAAAAAGGAATTTTTTTATTAGTTATTCAAATCAAGTAGAGATGTTTATTTTCAGGCATTGATAATTGATAATTGAGTAATATATGAGGTACATAGTTACAGAGAAATTTTAAGGGAACACTTTCGGTTCGTTCCGAGGGTATGATGTTTGTAGGGTATTTACATTGGTTGTAGATTTTTGTGGTTCTAGATTAGCATAGGCAAAGTGGAATTATTTTTAGATTATACTTGTTCTCAGCTTATCATAATGAGTTTTAGCGCAAACGTAAAGCAAAGATAAGTTCAGAGTAGCAAAAATGAGCTAAGGTGAGCAGAGCTAGAGTCAAGAGGTTTTTGAAAAAAATTGGAGATACTATTCCTTCCTGATTTTATACTTCTACTATGTATTCTCTTTACGATGTGTTTTCGATGATGTGCAAAAACAAGTTAAGATACCCTATATCTGCTGATACCATGAAAATTTCTAATCTACCTGTATATGTTTTAGCAAAGTTCTGTTGTCCCTTGGGACTTGGGAGTCCTGATATGCTGTATGTCTGGTTTGTTCAGGTCAGATGAACTTTAGAAGAATCATAATCACCAGGCCGTTAATTAACTTCTTTTCTCAGACTCGCACACTACATCCATTTACCACTACCACTACCACGACCACAACCACAACCAATCCTTCTCTCCACCAATCTCAAACTCCTTTGCTAATTAACTCATTGACTCCTGTCAATTCGGACCATCTCCTTAAAGTTTGCACAATCCTGTTCCAGCAACAAGATGCATCAGAATCCAAGCTCCGAATGCACCTCCTAAGAACTCAATTCAGCCTTAATCATGAATTTTTCCTCCAAGTATGCAACAAATTTCCCCTTTCATGGCGGCCTGTTTACCGTTTCTATCAGTATACCTTGACCTGCCCTGAGTTCATCCACACCCCTGTTTCCTTTAATAAGATGCTTGACGTGGTTGGTAAGTCTAGAAATATAGATCTGTTTTGGGAATTATTATGTCAAGTGTCGGAGCAAAAAATGGCTAATGATAGGACATTTCGGATTGCTTTGAAAACATTGGCTGCTGCTAGGGAGTTGAAGAAATGTGTAGAATATTTTCACTTGATGAATTCTCATGAGTATGGATATAGTTTGGATACTTTAAATAAGGTTGTTGAAACCCTTTGTAAGGAAAAACTGGTTGAAGAGGCTAAGTTTATTGTGGTGAAGTTGAAAGATTGTATCAAGCCAAATCAGGCTACTTATAAGCACTTAATTTGTGGGTTTTGTGATGTTGGGGACGTGATTGAGGCTTCGAAATTGTGGAATTTGATGATGGATCAAGGAATCGAAGCTGACATAGATGCTGTTAATACGATGATAGAGAGGTTCTTCAAGAATAATCAGTTTGATCAAGGACTAAAGCTTTTTCAAACTATGAGGGTTAAAAGGATGGAGGAAGTTGGACTTTCAACATATAGTATTGTTATCAAATGGATGTGTAAAAGGGATAAGCTTTCCCAGGCTTATTTGGTGTTTGAAGAAATGCAGAAGAGAGGAATCCAAGCAGATGATGCAACATTGGCGTCAATAATATATGGGCTTGTATCAAAGAATCGAGTTCAAGAAGCATATTTGATTGTGGAAAATACTGAGAAACCAGATATATGCATTTACCATGCCTTGATCAAGGGACTTCTTAAGATGAGGAAGGCAGGTGAGGCAACGGAAGTTTTTAGGCTTATGATAAGAAAAGGATGTGAACCTATTATGCACACCTATATCATGTTGTTGCAAGGACACTTAGGAAAGAGAGGAAGAAAGGGGAATGATCCCCTTGTAAATTTTGATTCCATATTTGTTGGAGGTTTAGTTAAAGCGGGGAAAGTTCTGGAAGCCACTAACTACACTGAAAGAACCTTGAAAAGAGGCCTTCAGGTGCCGAGATTTGACTATAATAAATTCTTGCATTACTACTCAAATGAGGAAGGTGTATACATGTTTGAGGAAGTAGGAAAGAAATTGAGAGAAGTCGGATTATTTGACTTAGCAGACATATTTTTGAGATATGGGGAGAAAATGGCTACTAGAGATAGAAGAAGAACTAGAGATGCATTTGAGTAGCTACTGATGGCTTAACGTCTATGAATTTTCCATGGGTGTTGTACTAATCCAATTATGTCCTGTCTTGGGTTCAGAGATTAGTTGTCACTGTCTACTCTTAATATGGCAGCTGGGTATTTTTGCATAATTGGCGGCTTGGCGCCCATTTACTTACAAGTGAGTGATTCAGAACCTTTTATGAGTTCTTTAATGATTTTAAATGATACGGAGTAATATTGATAAAGCTGCTCATTAACCATTCCCATTTCCAGCACATGTCGTTTATTCTTTAATTTTGATTTATACATATTCATTTGCTTGGATTGTGTGGAAATTAAACAGTTTCTGTGTTTTTATGGCTTCAAGTCATTAATGTCAGAGCATTTGACTTTGTGTATTTGGCCTTTTCCATGGTTAAGTCATGCAGAAAATTGACTGCTGCGTGGACTGATTTCATACCTCATTTCCCTCCCTGTAAATTATGAACTTATTGGAGTAAACTTGTAATTCTAGTTCTTTTTTATGTTTTCAGGAGGTGGATGGTGATCGTTGTCAGCTTTTCCTGACACAAGATCCTCCGTGAGTATGTTTCTCCAATTGACTGTTGGCTTTGCATGATGGCGATAAATTCGGTGTCATAACCTGGAGACAGGAAATGCAGACATAGAAATGGGGAGGATCCTAACATGCACTGATGCACTTCCTATATGTTGGTTAATTCCCAAATCCCATGGTAGCAATCTTTGGTTACTTTCAAAACTTTAATTAAAAAGCAGCAAGTCTTGAGTATTTGATAGTTTTTTTAATTGATGAAACAGAATTGTACATATTATAGTGAGCTTGTGTTACTGACTAATTGTTTGATTAAATGTAATGTAAAAATTTATTATTCGAAAAAAAAAGTCAATTCCCAGAGAAGTAGTGTAAATAGATTGGTTGTAGATCTACTACTTACTCGGTACAAAATTTGAAAGTTTCACTTAAATTGTCTAAGATGTTTCAATGGTTAGTTTTAGTAAGCCGCTTACGGTGTTTTGTGGGGAAAAAACTTCCTACTTATAATACAAACATTATTGATGTAATTTTTCAGTCTTAACCTCAAATATTTTTTACAAAAACTCATCCACAATTTTATAAAAGGATAATAATCTTACCTCCATTGAAAGAGTAGCTAGCATTAGTCATAACTCATATCTAATGGGCATGTAATACCCAAATTGTTAAATAACATACTGATACTACGGATTAAAAAAAAACAAAAAAAATAAAAAAAAAAATAAAAAAACAAAACCCCGAGATACCAAATACATGTATAAGCTAATCTCATAATCTGAAGCTTAGCTTGTATGTGCATCCTAGACCTAGACCATGGTCCCAAAAGGGCCAAAATTTGGATAGACTTATCGGTAATTTAAGGGTGATATTAAAATACAATTACTTGTATCAAATAATGTTGCATTTAAAAAAAAAAAGAAAAAAGAAAAAAGAAAAAAACCTACTTGTATTCTGTATATATTATGACATCCTAAATACCCGCCAAATATCAACTGTATAACTAACACTTTGAAATGTTTCACAGCTTTTGTTCTTCACTCAATAATACCCCCAAAATCGACCCAAATCACTGGAATTCATTGATAAAAGATCAAGCTAAACTTAAAAATGATCGAGCAATCCTATTTACATTTTCCCAGATGGAAAATTTGCACATTTTACCTGATTCCACTACTTTGCCTCTGATTTTGAAGGCTTGCTTAAAGCTTCATGCCATTGAAACAGGCAAAAGGATCCATTCTAAGTTCAAGAGTAAGAATTTGATAAATGATGTTCGGGTTCGATCTTCCTTCGTCGATTTCTATGGGAAATGTGGGTTACTTGAAGATGCCCGCCATGTGTTCGATGAAACGTCTCAAAGAGATGTTGTGTTGTGGAATGTGATGATTAATAGCTATGTAGGATGTTGTTTTTATTGGGAAGCATTGTTGTTGTTTAAGCAGATGTGGGTTGAGAATTTGAAGCCTACCTCGGTGACATTGGTGGCATTGCTTATCGCGTGTGGGGAGCTGGTGCAGTTGAGATTAGGGAAAGAGATACATGGGTTTTGTTTGAGGAATGGTGTTTTTCCTTCAAATTGCTATCTTGGGGCTGCTTTAATTGGATTTTATGTGAAATTCGATGTGAGGGCTTCTCGTGTTGTGTTTGACTTGATGCCTATGAAGAATGTTGTTAGTTGGAATATTATGATGAATGCCTATAAAGGTGTTGGTGATCAACTTATATCGCTAAAGCTTTTTGTGAAATTGTTGATCGAAGGGGTAGTATGTGATAAAGTTTCGCTTTTGGCTGCCATCCAGGCGTGTTCTGAACTTGGTTGTCTGGATTTGGGCATGCAACTTCATCAACTGATCATAAAGTTTAGGTATGCTCAAGACCTACATATCATTAGTGCACTGGTTAATTTGTATGTGAAAACTGGTTGTTTAGAATCTTCATGTAGGATATTTGAATCTGCTCCTATTTATGACATTGCCATATGGAATTCAATGATATCAGCTTGCTTAGAGTATGGAAGACATGAGGAGGCCTGGAAATTGTTTTCTAGGATGCAATTAGAAGGATTTAGAGTAAATGAAGCTACAATGACTATTCTTTTAACTATGTGTTTAGAAACGGGTTGTGAATTGAGAGCCAGTAGGTCCTTACAGGCTAAATTCATTAGAAATGGGCTTTCTAATAATACATCAATTGTGAATGCAGTCTTGAGAATCTACGCATGTCATGGCTGTTTTAACGATGCAATGATGCTATTTGACGAGTTGATTAGACCAGATGTAGTGTCCTGGAACATTATGATCTCTGCTCTGGCTGGTAATGGATTAAAAAACCATGCTTGGAACTACTTTGAGAAGATGTTAGATTTGGAAATTAAGCCTAATATGCACACGATTATTGCTGTTCTTACTGTTTGCAAGGAAGAATCTTATCTTAATCTTGGTCGATCAATACATGGGTATGTGATGAAGCATGGGATTGAAGTAAATATAGAATTAAGTACTGCACTCATTGAAATGTATGCGAACTGTATTGATGAGGTAGCTGCTAGAAATTTATTTGATAGGTGCTCAAACAGAGATGTTATATTGTGGAATTCTTTGATTGCTAGTTATGTGAGAAACAACCTGGCTCATGAAGCTCTGTCACTTTTCAAGAGAATGATCTTAGAAGCAGAACCCAATTCTATAACAATAATTAATATTCTCTCATCATGCATTGACGTAGCTAGTCTTCCTCTAGGTCAATGCCTACATGCTTACACAATTCGTAAAAACTGTTTTGGAGGCTTGAATTTGTCACTTGCAAATGCCTTGTTATCTATGTATGCAAGATGTGGCAGTATGCAGAATGCTGAGAAGATTTTCAAAAGCATGCAACGGAAGAACATTAGCTCTTGGAATGCCTTGGTGGCTGGCTATGGTTTGAATGGTCAAGTAACTGATGCTCTGTGTGTGTACTCGCAGATGTTAAGCTCTGGGTTCAGACCAAATGGGAGGACTTTATTGTCATTGTTGTCTGCTTGTAGCCATTCTGGTATGGTGGAGAAAGGCTTGGAGCTTTTTAAATCTATGGTTTATGATTTTGGTGTAACCCCGATACTTGTTCACTATGGTTGCATGGTGGATTTGCTTGGGCGTGCTGGATATGTTGATGAAGCAAGATTAATTATCGATTCAATGCCATTTGAACCAGATGCCTCTGTCTTGAGGGCTCTTCTTAGTGCTTGTAGAGCCCACTCTAAATTGACATTGGCTAAAGTTGTCTTCCAGAGACTTGTGGAAGTAGAACCTACCAATGCCGGAAACTATATTATGTTTTCAAACATCTGTGCAGATGCAGGTCGTTGGTCAGAGGTGAGAGATTTAAGAATGCATCTTAAGGAGAAGGGTCTGAGGAAGAATCCAGGGATTAGTTGGATTTTTTATCGAGATCAGGCTCACTGTTTTATTGCTGGAGATCAGTTTTGCTTCAAGGCTGCTGAAGTTTATGCAACATTGAACTCTTTACTGCTTGCACTCAAGGATGACGGGTACATCCCTGATCTTTGGTGGACTGTACACGAGGAAGAGGATGAAAGAGGTGCTCTTGCCCACTGTGAAAGTTACTTTTGTGACTAATCTCTGAAATTTCGAGTGTCGTTAAATCTATGGGCAATGAATTTTGGGAAAGTTATGGCCTGAGCATCAGGTTGTTTGTCGACAGCTTTTCATGAATATTAATGTCTGATGCCTCAATGCCTCATGATTGCAGCTGCCAGCCAGCCACTTTGTTCCAGGAATCGAAATATGAACTACTAGCATACTGTTGGATGGAGATTATGGCTACAGCCAGAGGTAGAAAATTGTCTTTGGACGTCAAGATTTGTAGAAGTATTGGCAGCATATATGCGTAACAGCGTAAGTACATAATCACCTCATTGTCTATAAATAAAATGAAATCAAATAAACCTCTTTCATTTCTATCTCTGCTATTGATTATGATCCTTTGGAAAAATATTCTTTTATTAAAGTGAAAAACAGGGGAAATAGGGTAAAAGGGGGGAGGATGAAGGATCCTGAGGAGTCCCTTGGTGCACATTTTCGAGGTTTGGGGCTTATTATGAGCCGGTAATGTGGCAAAGACCGCAAAGTGATTGGGAAAGGAAAGGTTGAATGTGATGGTGAGTCCTTTTTAACCACAACGCTAAAAATATTACACTGCTCATACTCTCTTTTAAGCATATTCTGTGATTTGTATATTAGTATAGGAGTCTTGTTAGATTTGTCGCAATATGTACTTTCAAAATATTTATGTTTACCTGCCAAAAAAAAAATTATGCATATGTAAATAAAGATATTAATGGCCTGCCACCCTGGAAACGGCTCAGCCGAAGGTAGGTCCAGTGGCTGGAAAAGCACCGTATGTTTTGTGGTGTCCGATGCGCCCCCGGCGACCCTTGAAAATTCGGAGGATCGAGTGCCGATTACACCCAGTCATACTCATAACCGCATCAGGTCTCCAAGGTGAACAGGTCGATGGAACAATGTAGGCAAGACAAGTCAGCAAAACGAATCTGTACTTCGGGAAAAGGTTGGCTTTGAGAGCTAGGCACGGGGGTCCCAGTCCCGAACTCGTCTACTGTCGGCGGACTGCTCGAGCCGCTTTCGTGGCGAGAGCAGGTCGTCGCGTGCCAGCCGCTTTGGGTGTCAAACAGTCAACTCAAAACTGGTACGGACCAAGGGGAATTTGACTGTTTAATTAAAACAAAGCATTGTGACGGTCCCTGTGGATGTTAACGCAGTGTGATTTTTCCTTGTGCTCTGAATATTAAAATGAAAAAAAATCAACTAAGCGCAAGTAGTAACTGTGACTCTCTTAAAGTAGCCAAATTCCTCATCATCTAATAGTGACATGTATGAATAGATTAACGAGATTCCCACTAGCTACTATCCAGCGAAACCACAGCCAAGGGAATGGGCGGGCTTGGTAGAATCAATTGTTGAGCTTGACTCTAGTTCGACTTTGTGAAATGATTTGAGAGGTGTAGGATAAGTGGGAGCTTCAGCGCAAGTGTAATACCACTACTTTTAACGCTATTTTACTTACTCCGTGACTTGGAAACGGGGCAATACCCCTCCTTTTAGACCTAAGGTCACGTTGCGGGCCAATCCAGACAGAGGCAGTTTGGCTAAGGCGGCACATCTGCTAAAAGATAACCAAGTTTCCTAAGATGAGTTCAACGAGAACAGAAAAATCGTGTGGAATAGAAGGGTATAAGCTCGTTTTATTCTGATTTTAAGTGCGAATACGAACCGTGAAAGCGTGGCTTAACGATCCTTTAGACCTTTTGAATTTAAAGCTTGAGGTGTCAGAAAAGTTACCACAAGGATCCTGGCTTGTGGAAGCCAAGTGTTCATAGCAATGTTGCTTTTTTATCCTTCTCTTCCAATCATTATGCAGCAAAATTAATTCACCAAGTGTTGGATTGTTCACCCATCAATAGGGAACGAAAACTGGGTTTAGACCGTCGTGAGACAAGTCTGTTTTACCCTACTGATGACAGTGTTGCAATGGTAATTCAACCTAGTACGAGAGGAACCGTTGATTCACTTATAAGTGGCAGAGTGGTCTTGCTACCACAATACACTAAGATTCAGTCCTATGTCGCTTCGATTCGTTCATCCCCTTTATTCCCTAAAAACACCTATATTTTGAAAAACGAAGTTAGTAGTGCATCTTATATGCTAAAAAATTCTAAGTGCGGGGTTGAGACAAGTCAAAAAGCCTAAGTGTTGGGGTGTTGGATGGTGCAAGGGGGCCTGTGGCATGTGCTCAAGACATGTGCACCCAAGGACAAGGCATGCGAACGAATAGTTTTGTCATTTGAGGGTATGTCGTCTTTGCCTTAATACATGATGATTAAGAATGAATGAGGTGGTTTCGGGCACTATTCACGACTCGCAAGGACCTTAGGGAGCCCGTGGAAGTACCTAGATGCATAATCACGCTAGGTGAAAAAATGATGTACAAAAGCCAAATTTGAAGGCTATAATTCACGAAATTGGAGCAATCCAGGAGGTGTTGGGACCCGATGTCAGAAATTCACTGAATTTTACAGGATGCATCCCGAGGTCATATAATGTTATTTCGACCCATATATGACCATTAGTCTGGTACATAAAAGTCCCGTGAAAGCCTATAGCCAATACAAAAGGCGTGTACGAAAACAGATAAGTTGTATGCTTTAAGGCAAATTGGATGGTTCCACCCACCCAATTGGACTCTCAAAGGGTATTGGGGTCTATAAGAAGCTTCTCGGCAATTCTTGTTTCCGAGTAAAAAAAAGTTGAAAATTTGCAAAATTGAAGTAATTCACACTTTTTGGGCAATTTCGGAGGTTTCTGGATCCGGTGTTGAAAAGTCTCGAGATACTAGAGGATACATTTTGGGATCATATAATGTCGTTTGAAACCATATATGATTATTATATACTGTCATAAATGTCCGTGGTAACCTTGAGTTTATGAACTTGGTGCAAGTTGTAAATAGGTAAATTAACAGTTTAAAGGCATATTGGATGGTTTTACCCGCCCAAATGGACTCCCGGCGTGTATTGGGGTCCATGGGATACACCTCGGTAAATTTTTTTTCCGGGTTCAAAAAAGTGAAAAATTGTCCATAACTGAAGTCTATAATACACGATTTCGGGTCAATTTTTGACATTTTTTCAAAAAATGAACTGAGTGTGTGGGGTGACTCCTGGGGTCATATAAGGTAATTTGAAACCATAAGACACCTATAAAGATGTCTATAAAGTACCAAGAAGGAGTTTTGTTTCTATTTCGAAATTCTGAAATTTTGAAATATAATGATGTCATATAAGTATAATGATGTGATGTGACTTGATTATAATGATGTAATAAAAGTATAATGAAGTGATGTAACTTGACTATAATGATGCCATATGAATTTATTAATTTAATGATGTCTAATTATGTAATTATATTTATAATGATGTGATGTTATATGATATGATTTGACAATAGTGATGTCATATAAGTATGATAAGGGCATGAGCAATAGAACAAACCTCTAAGAGGTTTGTTTACTTGCCATATCATCATCATACAAACCTCACACTTAACAAACCTTTCATCAACAATAAACAAACTTGTTCAAAGGTTCATATAGTGGGCCCTACAACTTTTTTTCCTTAAAAAAAAAGTTAAAAGCTTCACATTTTTGCCAAGTAAGCAAATCAAACCGGTTTGTGTTTACAAACCCCTCCAAAACAAACCTCTACTCAACAACAAGAGGTTTGTCAACAAACCTCTAAATTGTTCCCACAAACCTCTTATTGCTATTGCCCTAATGATGTCATATAACCATGATAGTGATGTGATGTGACTTGATATGACAATAGTAATGTAATGGAAAAGAACACACGTTATGATGTAACTATGGATAATCAATCATACTACTATTCACACGTGTGTTGATTGATGTGATGTGATGCGTTGAGTTGATAGATATATTTGAATTAACAATTCATGTTTGTAATATAAGTATCATATCTTATCTCATGCAAACAATCAATTACCTCATTCCATCGTCAATTAACACAAACGGTCCCTCTATCACCATGTTCTCGAGTCAATTACCACATTTCCGGTCCAAAACAACCCCAAACCTCGAAAAACGCGCAACAAGAGTAATATGGGATGTACCAAAGTGTTAAAAACACATCCCCCTATTATTCTCAACCTTTTTCCCATGTTTTGGGACTATTCCAGCAACTTTCCCTGATTTTTCAATTATCACCTTTTTTTCCCGTATTTTCCATTTTTGGGGCTCACGAAAAATATTTTTTGGAAAAATAAAAGTGTTATATAATAATAACCCATTCTTTCGATTCCTCCACACACAAAAAAAAGGGGTGTTATTATCACATTTTCACAAGTTTTGACCCATTATTGTGTTATTGTCGTCGGGTGTTCACTAGAGTTTCACAAGGGGAACCATATAAAGCTTTGGGGGAAGGTAGGCAACTCAAGGTTGAATAACTACAAGATGTAGCTATTCAACTTTTAGGGCCTTCAGTGTGCATTGTCAGACGCTAGTAGAATGCCCACAAAAATCTCATCGGGGCAATCCTAGTGTGTTGTTGGGTCCATGAAAAGTACCCTGACCTCTTTTCTTTCCGGACTTGAAAAAGTCCAAAAATAAAGGCTATAATCTTCAAATTTAGCTTTTGAAAACATTTTCGGATCCTGCAAGGTTTGGCATCAAGGTGTTTCCCGGGGTTCCCAAAGGGCCCTAGGAGGACTACTTTTGGTGCCTAGAACCATCTCATACATGCCTTGACCCATCCCTTATTATCATGTCTTCTGACTGCCTTGGCCTTTTGTTGTCTTGCCCTTGCCCTTGCCTCAGCCCTAAGGTTAGCTAAGATGCTACCCTTTATAACCATATATAGTTTGTTTTTTGAAGGATGAGGTGTTTTTAATTCCTTGTGCCCATGCTCATGCTCTATGCCTAGGCCCTGATGTGCCTTGGCTTTGCAGCAGTGCCATGCCTAGGCCTTGGTGTGCATTTGCTGGGAGGCAGCAACAGTTCCCATAACTTGGCTAGGAGGCAGCAGCAATGCCCATGCATAAGCCATGGTGTACCTTGGCTCAGTATCATTAGAGCCAATGCTTTGGCATGCCCTGGGTGGCAAATGCTGATCACAGCCCTAGTTTACCCCTTCACCCCACCCCCCCCCCCACCCTCCTTTCTCTGCCTCTAAAAATGTTTAGAAACGAATGGGTTACAAATGTTATGCTACACACTTTTCTTCCTAGTTCTCACTGAAGGTAGTCTTTCTCTTTACACCAATGCCACCCCCTAATCTCACTAGCCTAGAGGTATCTATGCAATCTTACCCCTAATTAATCCCTTTTGCACCACTTCCCAGCCTTTCACTAAAACTTAAGCTGCGTGCGCCTTGCGTAAAAATATGATTATATGATCTGTTACACAAATTTTCTGATCAAGCATCTTCTTACAATTTTTTCCCTGTAAATTGATTATCTAGTCATCCTACATGCTGCCATGTACTGTAATCATATGCTTTAAATTGATTTAAAGAATTCATTATTATTCTTTAAAGACGGAAATCGTGAAATGTCCATATTATTGTATTTTGCCTGTTTGAATTGCTCTTCACAGAAACAGTCAAGGCTATATAGTTCAGTTGTTATATTCAAGAGTGGATTGGGCAAAAGAAACAGAGACTCAGTCTTCCCTCTTTCTAAGATAACAAATCAAGTAAAGGTAGTCTTACTATTTCCTTTTTTTTTATTTTTTTTTGAGTTAAAATA